TTATTTCATAACCATATTATATATTTGTTTGTTATTTATCAAAATTGTATTTATTTCATAATTTTTTATTTATTTATTTAATTATGAATCTATTGGGCTTCCATAGGATAATAGCAATAAGACTCATTGCTGCTTTTGTTAAGTGAGAACCTCTAATGGTGCTATTTTTATTTGAGTAAAAAAAAAAAAAAATTATAATATATATATGAGGGAACTGGACAAGGTAAATGTGGTGGAAGCTGTATTTATAAACTCTAAAAAGGCATTTGATGAAGCCAACCAGATATACATTCAGTCTGAAAACAAAATTCTGCAAAGTTCTTTGCTGTTTAGTCTCTTTATAAATGGTTTCCTGTAACAGTTGTTGCTCTATGCAGATGATGCAGTTCATTACGGCTGCAGCAGCGTCAGACATCAGTCTCTGTGCTTTTCAGTTAAAAAAGTTTATTTAAAAGAAAGTTTTCAAGTTTAAAACTAATCAGACGCTACATACCAGGAAACCTTGCTGTACATGCATGTTTTGATTTTTTTTGTTAATTGTTTATCATACTACATGACAGCCAAAAACCAAGGAATAAAGATCTTTTTTATTATAAATAAGGGATATCATTGGATCACAGTGGGTCAGAGGTCTGCGTTAGGTCGTCTATGTTTTGTATTTCCTGTCTCTTGAATCTGTCCTTTGTGGTTGGCATTTATACACAAATTATTGTAACAAAAATAAATTTGGAAATGTCAACAAAACAAATATGGCTGAATTGAACTTTCTTATCCTTCGCCTTTGGGGAACTGGATGACTCTGTAAAGTTTGACTGAATTTGAAGGCAAATAAACAGCTTGTGACTTGAACGTTTATCAGACCTTAATTTATTTTAATTAAACTTAATTGATCTCACACTGGAGAGATTTACCTCTGCATTTAACCCATTGCTGTGGGGAGCAGTGGGCTGCCATTGCGTGGCACCTGGGGAGAAGGGTGGGGTTAAGGGTTCTGCTCAGGAACCCAGAGTGGAGGCTGTGGGAATCGAACTGGGTACCTTCTCACTAATCTAACCACTAGGCCAACCTACTGCATTAATGATGCATTAGACATCATGATGAATGCTTGGTGATGTTTCGTCGTTCTCTAATCAACCATTTCCTTAAAAAGTTTACCCTAAAACATTTCTACCTTCCACTGGGTTCACGACACAAGGTAATGCTTTACTGCAACTGAGATTTTCCAGGATTTTAAGATAAATCTAATAAAGTTTTTACTGCAAAGTCATTCTGAACATGGTATACCAAGGAATAATGTTTCTTTCTTTTCAGCTTAATCTAAATATCTGTAAGGAATGACACTTTTCTCTGGTTTCTGTTTCACATAGATTTACTTTGTCTTTATTTGGCATGAAAATATTCCAAATATTTGGTAGCAATTTGATCCTTTTGTTAATGAAACAAAAGTTGACTGTTTTTCCTTTCAGAATAAGCAGCTGTAGGTTTTGCTGGGCGACATGTTGATGCTGTCAGGATGTTGGCAGGACGCCTGTTTGGAGCAGAGGCAGCAGCTCCTCCTCCTGTCCTCCTCCTGACCCCGACTCGGATAACAAGCTGCACAAAAAGAGGGATTCCTCCTCCTCTTCGGTGCCAAACTCTGGACCTCAAAACATATGAAGTTAGAACTGTGCTGCCAAAACAAAGTCCCACCTTTAGTCAGGATAGTTTGAGATTTTATTTAAAAAATTCCACCTCCTTTGTTTAATTTTAGTTTTTTATATCTGACGCCTGAAAGGTTTAACATGTTGGTAGAATAGAAAAACCCAAAACAAAACAATTTATCAGGAATTTTATATAAGCGGCAGCCATATTAGAGTTTAAAATCTGGGTTTCTTGT